ACAATGCGTCATGAAGGGTGTATCCTATTTTATTATTTATACTTATACTAATGAAATATAAAAAAATAATTTTTTAAATAAATTTTGTTATGAAATATGTGAAAAAGTTAAAAATGATTGATTTCTGTAGTCAAATAACGATAATAATGAACAAATTAAAGTTATATCACTAGTGATTTATGTGATATAGCAACATAGTACAGTTTACAACAAAGAATTACCAAAAATGTTTTTATATGAAAATAGAACTTTTACAGCAAAGGACAAATGATATTGGGTTTATAAGTTCATATTTAATATACAGACCACTGCTCGGTAGGGGCTGCATGGTTAGAACGCATTAATATGACACTATTGTGTGTCATAATCGGTTGGGAGTGGCAGGTAGAGGAAAGGAGGATCATTTTATAGTACTCAAAATGCTGGAGGGGTCCATACACCCAATGGCGCAAGTCCACAGAACGAGTAAGGGGCGTGACCGTACGGTAGAGTGCGTACACGCCCGTTATCAGCGACCGCGGACAGGTCTTTCAGTGGTAGTAGTTCATCACGCACAACATGTTCGGTCGGTACTCTAGTTCAAAACTGTTACTTCATCGAGTATATTAAATATAAAATATTTTTACGTTAGGAAACGGAAACTAAGCTCTTTATTAACGATCTGCCAAGTTTGATTTAAAATTTACGCGCTATGATGATGCTGCAGAATCCTCTATTTCAGGAGTACAACACAGCCTTATCACAACTTCTTGAATTGCATCAACAACAAAGGCATTTATATCAGCAGCGACAGAACCAACAAAGGGGTGCTTTCCAAACGTATGGGTGTGTGGACGGTATTAGAAGTGCTAGCCGTGGCAGTACCGACTCTGATGGTGGCTTAAGTTCTTCGTCTCCTCGACCTTCTAAACCCTTTACTATCGATGCTATACTTGGGTTACACGGACCACCTGGTCAAAACTGTACACCTACCGCAGCTACTGCCTTAGATTTTTCGACCAGTGGATCAGCTGCTGCTATCGCTATGCATTCCAAAAAATCTAAAGAAGGTAAATTAATCTCTTATTGCATTATTTATGATACTTACACAAGGCTAAATTAATCAATAAGTGTAATCTGTAATCGATTTGAGTACATTATTAAGAAATTTTCCTAGATTAACAAATATTTTCTTTAAATAAGTAGGTAATGTAATTTTTTGACGATTGTAAAAATACAATTAACTAAACATTATCCGGGTCTGTCTAGTTTTTATTTAAAAATAAAGTCATACATTTCTTAGAAACTAAAGACTTTATGCACACATTACACCCAAAGAAAAACCTCAATGAATTTTGATAGAGAAATTTTATCAAGGGTTTATGATAATGTTTTATTAATACGAACAAAATAATTATTCTTATAAATAATTATTGTTCAAGACAAGAAAAAAAATGATCATATTGATAAATATGTCATAGATTCAATAGTAATGATAAATTTATCAAATTGAACAATGAACTTATTATATAGATCGAGGTTTTTCTCTGTGTAAATAAATGTAAAATAGTTACGTTCATTCATAAGGGTGTCTCAGACCTAACTTACAATATTTATGACTTTTGAACCAATTATTATTTTTTTGGTTCAACCAACATGTTTATTACAGTATTTTTGTACATTTTTTATAGGATACATATAACATGTTCTGTTACATCATTCTGTATTCATTTACTGATCATAATTTACAATTTTGCAGTTTTTAGTTTCAAAATAAAACTGAGTGAGTTTATAGTTAAGGGTACACGAAAATAAAACTACGATACACTATTTTATTAATCGAGAAAATAATGTTTTAAATTTGAAATCGCCAAAAAAACTAAAATTTTAAGTAAACTAAAAAATTCAAACAGAGTTAGCAATTTGATATGTAGCAAACAAAATTAAATTATGTTTGTAATATTTAATGACACACTAAAGTATAATAAAAAAAAACATCCTTTTTTAAGATTTTATTATTATATTTTAATGAAAAAATCAGATGAGTCACCTAAACACAGAGAATAAACAAGTAAATTATCAAAAACATAAAAAGAACAAACCATTTAATATTCCTGAATTTGGGCATTTTTGAATTTTATCTATTAGCTGGTTGCCACTTAATTATAATAACAATAATTTTTATCGTAACATTTAAATATTTTTAATTTATAACACTTATTTATATTTTTTCTAAATTTTAGTTGATTTAACTGGTTATTTTCAGGTAAGCCAAAAGTTTCGACGGTTTTATCTCTTGACTAAACTACTTTTATCACTAATTCGATAACTTATAAATTACACCATAACAATAATGTTCATTTTTAAAAAGTCACTCACGTTGTTTTTTTTATTTATCCTTTGTGTATTATTATAAACTCACTGTGTTGAGATTTTTTCAAAATTGAGCGATTTTATGAAACAGTGTTATACAATATTAGTTAAGTTATGGATCTCATGAAGCTGAAAAGATATTAATTTTATTATGATGTGTTTTTACATGTTTGTTCATAATAATTCTCAACACATAATAGGCCAATCGTGTTAACCAATACATAAAAAGAATCCAAGTTTAGTCTAGTTTGTGATATCTCTTTCAAAGATCCAAAAGATCCCCTAAGTTTTAGTTATTTAAAAGAAAGTCTCAAAATTAGGCAGCCTTCAAAAATGACAAATCCCATACTTTTTTTGTATTTTAAATTGCAATAACTTTTTTAAAAACAGCTAGATCTTGATTCAGTATATACCTATGCATACCAATTTGATTTTTTCATTTCAACTTTTGAAGATATTCCAGTTGGGTAAGGTTCTTTAGATCTATACATTCTTTAAATCTAATGAAACTTTTTGCCACTTTTATCAATTTATTTGCTCAGTATTCTTGTTACTAAGATATTTTATATTATGACACAATATAATATAATAACGATTATAGTATGTAAAATTTAATTACATTTTTTAATGTTGTAAAATTAATAAACATCATTAATTGTTGCAGTACAATACACTTTACTACAACTATGTACGCCACTTTACTATAGTTATGCGGTATACAAAAGATTTGCAAGTAGTTCAATAAAATATCAATAAAACTTTTTGAAAAATTTTTTGTTTATCATTTATTTAGAATGTAAATTTTATGCAATCGTTGGGAAAAGTACTTGTAATATTATTATACTATTAGAAGCTGCAACCCCACCCTCAGTTACCATAATTGCCAGAGAAAATTAACTTATAATGTCGCGAATTTATAATTCATATTTTTCCTATATATATAAAAAAAAAGGATTTGTTACAAAAGATTTGGGAATTTCTAAGTTTTTAATTAACAATTCATTAAAAATCGAAATAATTTTACTATATTTTATGTTAAAATAAAACTTTACGGTGGGTCGTTATACCACTACCTATGAACTTAAAAGGTTTCTAAGGATTTAGTTATCAGGAGGGTTATCGTGTTGTTATATATAATGGAAAATTAAGTAATTATATAAATAAACACACTATTAAGTAGCTAAAGACATCAAAGTTACATGTAAATAAAAACAATTCACAAAGGTTTGTTTAATATTTTTAAGGGAAGACTGTGTAACATTTTTTCTACAAGTTTCAAAGCAGGTTAAAATTGAAATATTTATCGTTTTATAGTTTATAAAATAAAAATTCGATATGATATTGTACAGTACATGATGCACATAAAAGATATTATCCAATATGGCCACTTTGGAATATTTTCGACCTATGTAGAAAGGGAATGTTTAGATTTTTCCCCTAGTTGAAAGTTTTGGCGGATATTGCCGTTATTGTGATTGCGGTGTGGTAAACAACTTTTGGCTGTCATGTACTTGTATTATACGATAGAAAAACGCGACTGGAATCCGCGTTCTCCCTCTACGCCTTCTTTGCCTTTAAAGACTTTTTTATGCTCGTTACTAGCCCTCCTCTCGCAGTCGCATCACTTTCCGGTTTATTGTACTACATCATAGTGCGGTCGTAAACTTAAAAGACAAAGTTAAACGACATTATAGAGAGAGTTAGAGGATACAATGTAATAATAGTATGTATACATATATAAATTAGTGTCTTTAGCCAACAAAGTTGTTAATTACTCTTGACATCGTTATATACGGACATATTAACGTGCGCACCGTACAACAATAATGGAGCTGTGCTCGCCTCGGTCGCGAAGTAATGATGTCATAATAATTTCATAATAAATCCCCTCGGTTCTCTCTCCCTGTACACACAATAACCCGACGCCTAACCGCGAAGTTAAGTGTAACAAGCGCATAAAACGGCCGTCATCAATTTCGGACCGTGGCCGCTTTTCCGTGTCTTTTTCGGGCAGCAGCCAAACAGAGTTTAAGTATTCCGTTAATTAATAGGGGTGAACAGCTTCCACAAACACCGTTGATAAAAGGGACGAGCTGCGGTCCCGTTGTTCAAGTGTGCGCTTCGACTCATTGCCAATGATGTAATAATAATACTTCCAGACCAATGAACACACAGAACGCAGCGCACTCGAGTAATAAAAAAAAAATTAAAATATACATAACTCATGAAGCTTATTAATTGCCTGGCATTTTTATTCGATTTCTTTGGTGGGGACGGTGAGTCGGTTGTTTTTTTATTTAAACAAACACAGTCGAACACAGTTGCCCATCGCAACAAAATATAACAATTATTTGCGTGTGCGTTTCACCCCATTTCTATGCCAAAGGGTTGACTGCAGATTTCTTGTATATGCTGCTAATATGTACCACCATAAATCATCGAAAGACCGGTTATTTTAATATTAATATGTACATATTGTTTTCAAGGATTGCTGTGGTTTTATTTTTTGCATCCAGTAAGTGTGAGTTGTTAGTATTTTATACACCGCGCGTTGGCAGGACATTCTAATTATTACCATCATATGCATATCAATTATTAACGCTACAATAGTTTACAATGTGTATTGACAGCTAACACGCGTTACAGCCATTGCGAGAGAAAGACAAACTAATACGATTGATGTGTAATTGCAACAGACACGACCATGTTAGTTTTGCGTCATTAAGTTTGTACAATGATAGAAATGAGTACATAACTATTGTTACAGATTGATAAATTCAATTGTCGTTAACGGAGTCTAATATTATGGTTAGACATAATTGAAACGCCACTTTTTTAAACTTTCTATATACATTTTTTTTAGAAATTCATTCTTATGAATAATTGATATTATTGAAAATAGTTTAAAGAATATATCAATGTGTAACAATATATTTAACTTGGGAGTATTGGCAAAGTAAAGAAAAACAAAAATTACACGTTCATATAACAAGATAGATTTAATAATTTGTTTAAACATTATATATTTTTAAACTATAGTAACTTAAAATAGTTATTCTTTTTTTAAATAAACACCAGAGGTGTTTAAAATATGCTACCTTAAGCACCGTTGTTCTTAGCGAATTATTATGCGTTAAAAATAATTCTCGACTATTTTACATCATTTCATAAAAATGTTTGTAGTTTTAATTAACTACACTTTTAATATTAAAATTTAATAAATAATTATTTAGAAAGACAAAAATAGTTCTATTTGTCTTTGATATTCGATAAAAATTTTTGCCCCTTTTTACATATTCTTTATACATTTTTAATGAAATTACCCAAAAATAAAGCGGAAATAATTTATTATTAACTTTAAAACATATATTTTTATATGCTTCATAAAAAGTTATCTTTAAAAATCATTGCTACTCTTTTTACTCTAGAACAAATTTAAAAACTGATATCAAATTTGAGATCAGTAGCCTTCAAAACGAAATTAATAGAAACTTTCAACATTTTGTTTGTTATAAATTAAAAGATGTAATTTAAGATCAATTGATTTCAGATAATTGTGCGCCGAAGCAATGAGGTTAATAGAGATATGTTTTTTACTCGCAATTTGTTTTTTATTACAATAAATGTAAAAAAGAAAAAACCGTGTATATTGATCTTCCTGATACTTTTCTCTATTAAGATACTGAATTAGCACTAAAAATACAAGATAAGCAAATAGCACTTAGGCTTCTGAATTTGCAATAATATGTAACAAAATTTTGTATTTATCTTATTGGTTTCTTAAACAAATTTATAGCTTACGTAGGCATCCCTAGGACTTGACAATAAAATAATATATGTGTAAATGTTAGAAATAATGACCACTAATTATTACAGTTGCGTAAACCCATTTTTAGATAAATTACATTTCGGAAAATATTGTTTTATAGTTCTTTAAAAAAACCCTGCGTATGCCATTTGTATCAGTAATTATCAACCAAAATGGTGAAATAATTGTTAAAAATTACCAAGATATGATTAATACACAAAGTGATTCATTAAGAATAAGACAGTCGTTTACTTAGAAACTACTAAAAACTTTATCAAATTATCTATAGAAAAATGGTTATAAATTGCTATACGCAATATCATAAGAATGTATTATCTGATAAAAAATATAATAAGAACAAAACTGTTTAAAATTTTATTCTATCATATTATCAAACTAAAAATAAGGGTTCTCGCTAAAGAAAATTAAAGTTTAAGTTAATATCCTTGAAGGAAAATAAAACATATAAATACATATTTTTGTAGAGTTTTTATAATCAAAAAATATTTTCCTGCGCAAAAATTAAAAGTTTTTAATAGTTTCCAAGAAAATGTCTTACCTTGATGAATAACCTGTATGGTATTGTAGGGATTAATAGAATAAAAGGTAAACATGGTAAAAAGGTTGAAAAACACTGATCTACAAAAAATTCATGGTATTCAATATAAATTTTACCACCTACGGCAACTGAATACACTATTCTTACCCTTAAATTTATATAAAACAAACATATACACAAATTTGAACATTGTTATTTGTACGAGTAGTTGAATGTATTTTGCGAATCATACATTGTAACTAAAAATAAAGTAGGTGGGGATGGTATTAACAAAGAAGAATGATAATAGCAACATCCGTAAAGACATAATAAATAAAAGTACTTTGTTTCTAGTTATTACTTGATTAGTGTAGTTAGTATGTTGAAACTACTCTTACCTGGTATATCTTGGCTGCAAATCAAGTTCCACGGTATAGAGAAGAGAAGAAGTACTTTAGGCTTATTAGATATTAAATAAGAAATACAGATTATTACATAATCGTATATTATAAACAATTAAATAGTTATTTAACAAGAACCCATTTTAAATTATACTATAGAGTTATATTAAAAAAGAAGACACCAAGTCACAATACGAGTATTAGAAAATAAGTAAAAACTGCAAAATGAAAGAAGGAGCAAAGCTAACTAATTAAGTGTGATCGCCAGAAGAGAAAAAATAAGAGTGAGTGTCCGACGGATATCAAAGGACGGACCAGAACCCGGAGGGCTCTTAAGTCTGTAATAATTAATTAAAGCAATAAAAATTTTATGTGATAATATTAAAAGAAAGGTGTGCTTTACAAGTGATACAGGGGGTGATTTGAATTCCATCATTGTTTGTTTAGGATATGTATGAGGTCATTTATGGCTTTATTCGGCAAGGATTATGTAAACAAAATTAATCACGTCTAAGCGTCATCAGTACATCTCTGCTAAGCATAGGTGAAATGTATTGATTTCATTAAGTAATATAAAAGAATATTACAACATGTAATAATTAAAATAATTTGGTGTATTATCTTTATATTCTAATAGTTAAAGCTAAAGAAAAATATAAATAATCTTAATTTTTCTGTACTATTAAATAAAATAAATACTCGCCTTAAAGTTCAATTTATGTTATAGATAAAATTGATGGATCGCTGAAAAAACATGGTTGTTCAGGAAAATCAAAAAGAGTAAGAACAATTTTCACTCCTGAACAGCTGGAAAGGCTTGAAATGGAGTTTGAACGTCAACAATATATGGTGGGTCCTGAAAGGTTGTATTTGGCACATACTTTACAGCTGACTGAAGCACAAGTAAGTAATTCACTAATACAAAATACTATGCGCATTATGTCGCTTAATTTCCCCAAAAAACAAGAACCGCTATAATCATTTCATTTATGTTACAATAATTCATCAGTCTATAAGTAAATGGCTTAATTTTCTGTAAAATAGGTTAAAGTTTGGTTCCAAAATCGTCGCATCAAGTGGAGAAAACAACATTTAGAGATACAACAACAAAGGTTGGCTAATATACATCAGAGAAATACACACGAAATTGTGCAGGAGTGCGAAGATGATGACGATTCAGAAACAGATACAAACAATTGTTCGTTTTACTCTTAATCGTTAGATAGAGGTAATCGTTCTTCTTATACTATATTGTAAATTCATCTACATCTGTGTAAAGTATGAAAAATAATATGTGATCATTAAGTTGCAAGTCCACATGAAAACATTTATTAAAAAGAATGGGTTGAAAAGGTAATTATGCCGCCAAAAGAAATATTTCATTAGTTGGTATATTCATATTTGTGGTTGTCAACTGAATAGAAATACTAGAAATAGTTTTATACCTTCATACAAATTTTGAATTAATCTTTCAAACTTGGAAAGTAACAACAAAAACAACCACCCCTTTTGAAATACATTTCAGGTAAAGTGCACGGTATAATTGTCTCCAAAATGTATTATTTGATCCTAAACACTTCTATCATCTTTTATTGTACCTATTGTATTAAATTAATTAAATACTATTTATTTGATGAAAGTTAAAGTTAAATTATTTTATTAAAAGTTATTTAATAAAAGCTTAATTGTGTAGAATTATTGTCTAAAAATTATGTAAAAATTAGATAATAAGAATCTGGTGATTATTATCATTACCAAACACTTTGATTATTATTAATGTTTATGTATTTATGTATTACTTTTCCTAAAAATGTAAATAATATATTTATTTTGTATATAATACAAACAGACAAAAATATACATATTATGTGTTAAATAAACTAAGTGTTTTGTCTACATTTTAAATTCGATGCAGGCCATTGAAGGTATTGGATTTCTCAAATATGTACTTATTTTTAACTTTAGAAGAGTAAAATTTTAGTGTCTAGCGGAACACCAGAATAAGCTACACCAAAATACCTTGAATTATATTAAGCTAAATCTGTTAGTTTAAAAAAAAAATTTTACATTTATACTATAAAATAGCCCAAAAACTTTTGTAGTCAATGAAAAACCTACAATTTTTTTTAACGGCTAAAAATTATTATAACTTATTTTTAAGCACTTATTAGTACGATATATTTTTTAGTATATGTTTTTATTGTAGATCCAACCATAAGAGGATTTACAATTTCAACACGATTCAGGTAAGTTTTGGATCTTTTATATAAGAATATAAACTTTTTCTGATGGAACAGCTTTCATTTGTTTCCCGTACACAATATAGTACAACAATAGCCGACAAAAAAGTTTCTTTCTGTATACTAAAAATAATATTTATATTACTATGCACAAAACAGTCGCAATAAAAAGTCAATTTCAGTTTACCGACAATATTACGAGAAAAAAACGGAATAATCGTTGTAACGATTGTGGTACGATAATATTGCACAAGTAGGGAGGAATGATGTAAGGGATGCAAATGTACAGAAAATCAGGCAGGTACTTTGTAAGAGACAAATGACAGACGCAATTTTTCCAACCCCGGAGACATTCTCCGCCTTCAACTCCGCCGACCAGTCGCATAAAAAAGACGTTTGAGTTTTTAAGTGGCTATCGACCGCTGATGCAGAAGAGGGTTAAGGGACCGCTGTTATTATGATATACGTGTAGTTTTTTATATTTGAAAGAACGCGATATTTTTATTTTATTCTTTCTTTGATAATTCCGCTGGCTTACAATATTGTACTGTATATACACCTATTGCACACTTTGAGCGACCAGAGCGCTGGGCGACGCGCCGCGGTCGAGTACGGTGGGGTGACCACGATGGTAAACTACCCCCAAAATGCTTCTACCCCCATCCGTGTAACGCCCGGTAACGCTATAGCGCCGCCATTATTACATCGTCGTTTATATTATTAAATCACTGCGAACATCCAACCGCAACTTTTGGCCGCCATATTTCACGGCAGTATGAGTATGTGCGGGTTATGTGCAGTGGCAGTACATATACAGCGGGTTAAAACGAGTACAAAAGGAGCGCTATTTTATTATAATGTTATACATTTAAGCGCCTAACTGCCAGTAGTTATGTACACACAAAATGAGCAGAAAAGCTCACTTCTCAGTGTATATTGAAACTAAGCGTTTAAAATAACCGTCTTTACTGTTCGTATACAACATGTATACGTATTATTTATATTGTTACGCACTACTTTTATGTACACAATTCACAAGTTAATTAATATTTATTATTTTTTCTAATGAAATAATTTTCAAGCTCTTTGTCAACTCGAATTTTTGGTTCTTCTTAAAAGATTAAACTATCCAAAGTACATTGCGATTCAAAATGATACAATAATTAGTAACATTAATACTT